TGGTGGAAGCCAAGGGGGGTTGAGAGTGACCGAAGACATAGTTGAAGAGGAAGGTCTTAATACAGGATTTGAAGGAGGAAAGAGAGGGGACTAGACTGAGGGGCTCCAGGATAGAGTTCCAGAGGGTAATAGTCTTATTAATCAATAATTTTTAAATTATTATATTATTTCACTCAAAAAATACAGTCACTATGCTTTCAGTATATCCTGTGAAGCGCTTTGAGATGTCTCAAAGATGTGATACTGGGTTATATCAAATGTAAGGATTATTATTATTATTAAGATTAAAAGTATATTTATTTTGTTTTCCAAACAGAGCTATGAACAAAGAATACTTGCAAGTTTTATTCCTCTTTTAATAGTCCTTGAACTCCTCAATAAGTGGAATCTGGAGTCCTTCAATAAATGTCAATATTTTCAGATGTAATCCCTGACCTGCTCCCATTTAATAACAGTTTGAACAGAACCCATCTATGAAAGAAGTGTAATGGGCAACAGTGTTTTTCCCGAATGTAGTGGTCATGAACAGTGGTTGATATTTCGGGTAAACTGCTTAAAGCAGCTAAGCTAATGTTCCCAGAAGTTGTTCACTTCATTTTCTTGAACTGGATTTTAAGAAATGTACATAAAATGCACTGCAGTGCAGAAAAGGAGATAAAACTCGCACAAGTCTTATCTTTATAAATCATATAATAACCTAAGTCATACATTCACCTAGGTCCCATTCAGTTTCCTATTAAAACCACTTAGATTTCTTTCCACTACTCATATATTACTCACCTCCTACCTCGTAAAGCTGCTTCCCTACCCTCCATTACTCCGCACTTACCAGCTGCTTATATTGCGGGCAATGATGTGCTGACCCACAAACAGCCATGAATCAAATGAAATAATTCTTTTTTTGGGGGGGTTGGGTGGGATTGTTGGTGAGGACACCAGGAGAACCTGACTTCTCCAATTTGATCCCGGGTTTCAGGCACGATCCAGAAGTCACCATTAATGCAGCGACTTTTTTGAATAAAACCACAATGCTACAGACCAGGGGTTTCTGTGAGGCACTGGCATTCACAGTTCTACTGGCACTGAAGGGGGAACAGACAATGTATGCACACTTGTTCATCGCCTCTCAAATTACAGAAATTTCAATATCGAATGAGATAAGTCATTCAAGCAAAACATGGATAAAAAGCTATAAAGAGAGAAGATAGTTAAACTGCGCAGGGAAGCCAGTAATTGAGTGTAGCATGTTTTAAATAAATGCTACCTTTTTTCTCATATCAGCTCTTTGATTCCAGAGATTTAACAGTGTAAAACCATATGCTGCCAGAGATGATGCTGACACGCTCATAACTCTGCTCTAACACAGGTCTGCATACTATTTGTTATGCACAACAGACAAAGAAATGCATTTAGATAGTTCCTTTCAAGCAGAATGAATGTCTCAAAGAAGGAACAGATATATGATAGGGAACAATGGGCAGAAGAAAGAAGATTGAATTATGAATCTTGATCAAAAGTAGTCAGACAGATGTTTTTAAGAGGGTTTTGAAGGCAGGGAAAAGCAAAACAAAGAGATTTTGAAGACAGTTCCAGAGGGAAAGGGAAAGTAGGTGAAAGCTCAGCAAGAACCGTGAAGGGATTTGAAGGATGTAAACTACAACAGTACTTTTGTGCATTCCTTGGCAATGAAAAAAAAGGACAGAGGTTTAATGCTCCAATAGGCAACTTCAGGTTAAGATACCAGGAAGTATTCAGCCAAATAAATATTCGTTTATATCTCTTTTAAACATAATAATATGGCTAGTGATTCCACCTAACTTTTTGGCTCAAAAGAATGCCAAATTTTCACAACCCTCTGTGTGAAGAATTGCTTCCTCATCTCAGTTCTAATTGTATTAGTTCTGATTTTAAGGTCATGTCCCCTGAAACAGATCCCTCTGTCAGAAGGGAAAATTGTCTACTAGCTAACCAGTCAATTATTAGAAAATGTTGTGGCAGGAAAGCTCAATTTCTCAGCTGACCTCTCCTCTCAGTGTAATGTACTCACCTTATCAATGATGTACAATGAACCTGAACAACCACACACTGAATGCAAGCACCAACTTCCAGGATAATGAAAATCACTTTCCTTTAGATGGCAGGTGATTTTTTTTACCTGGTATTCTGTGTATTACATTTAATATATACAGAGTAAAGAACAACTTTACTCCTGCAGAAAACTGATTATTGCACTGCTATGATACATGATGCACAAATTTCCTTCGTCAAATATTCATATACTCATTTTGATGTGCTTTCAGTGTATCTTTATGGTCTGATATATCCAAACACTTGAATGCCAGGGTGCAAATAGGCTCATATACAGATGGAAGGTTAGCGGGGCAATTTCTTCATTAGTTGCAGAAGTGAGAAATTAAATAGATAAAACTACACAAGTCCACTGAAAATCCAATCCAATTTACATTCATAACTCCTTTTATGTCAGGAGGAAGTCTTAAAGTGCTGGACAATGCTGGATGGGCACCTGAGCTGGAAATGGGAACCAAAGTGGGTGGGGAGGGGAACGATGACCAAAACATGGACAAAGAGGTGCATTTTGAGACGTGTCTTAAATCATGGTACACAAAGTAAGAAATTGGACTTTTTTAAAATTCAAATGAAAGTGACTGCATTTTGTAAGCGAATGTGTACAGCAATGTCCCACAAACAGCCACAATGTGAATGATTATTATCTGAGTGATTGTTAGTAAGGACACCAGAAGAAACTTAATTCTCTTTTCAAATTGTGCCATGGGATTTTCAATGTCCACCTGAAAAGCCAGATGTGGCTTTAGTTTCATGTCTCATCTGAAGTATTACACCTCCAACAATGCTCCGCTTCTCCAGCACTGTACTGGAGTGTCAGCCTAGACCAGTCTTCAAACCATCGATCACTACTAGGTGTCATCTTGCACACGCTCAATAAAAACAAGAGAAAGGAGCAATTTAGATAATTTAGTTTATATTTTTAAATCGAGATATCCTTACCAACAATCACTCAGATAATAATCGTTCACATCATTCACATCTGACTTCATTTTCAATTAGACTAAATAACTACGCAGTTGTATCGTTCCTTCCTCTTGTCTTTTTGATCATTCAGCAGAGCACCACCTCGCGGTGATCGACTGGTTATAGACCCCTGGACTAGACGGTGAGCTCAAAGTCCTGATATGAGGGTTGAGCCCACTACTTCTGACTCAGATGTGAGAGTGTTACAGATTGAGCTAGCGTGACAGCTGTGAAGCGCTTTGAGATTTCCCCCCTTGTAAAAAAGCCTATATCTCATGTAATAATTATTATATTATTAAGCATTATATATAGAGGTATCTTATGGATAAATGAACCAATTATTTTATTCATTTGAAAGGCTGCTAAATATACGAGGAACACACTGAACCCAGAGATGATGGATACTTTGGGTATTTGGTTGTGAATCCCATCCAACGAAATTATGTATGTACTGTATTCATTCTACTTGGCAGCACTATCTGTCTTCTTTACGAGGCGTTACATAGAGGAATACAGCATGGAAAGAGATAATTTGCCAACTGGTACTTACTGGTGTTGATACTCCATACTTCTCCCGTCACCCTCACCTACATCACTCTACTCTTTTCTCCCTCATGTATGCATCAAGTTTCCTCTTAAATACATTAATAATAATTGTTGCATTTGATATAGCGCTTTTTACATCTTCTAGACGTCTCAAAGCGCTTCACGGAATATACTGTAAAGTGAATTGACTGTATATTCGTGGACAAATTGCAGCAGCCAATTGCACACCGCAGTGCCCCACAAACAGTCATGGAGTGACCAAATTATTATTGTGTTTTACGGCTGAGAGAAAGAACATGTTGGGTTCTAGTGTTGTAAATGAAGGGATAAATACAAATCCAGATGGTTCTGGAGTTAATTGTCCTTTGGAGATTCATACAGATACGAGAATGGGCTACATTCCACAATTGGGGAGGTTTGAGGTACTTGAAAGGAACAAGCTTAATGGGTTTGGCTTATTTCGTACTTTACAATGTTAAAAACAATGAAGATGAATGGTCCTCACTGCAGATATACAAAATCACACCTTATGTGATTAAATGCTCAGTGATTCACACAAAATAACAACTTGCACTTATATAGCACCCTCCATGTAGGGTAGCATCTCAGAGTGCTTAACAGTGGCGGAGAAAACAATTTGAAAGGAATCTAAATAGATAAGATACATTTGGCAGCACATCGTAAGATGTTAACTTGTTCAGAAGAGCACAATGCTGGACCCTGCTTTGGATATGGCCAGAGAGGTGACAAAATAAATAATTAAATAGCACATTTCTAGACTAGTGTAACATTGACTGAATGTGCCTGACATATATGCGACTCGATAACAAATATTTCAGGTTTACTGGTAATGCACTTATGTTTTTAATCACAATGTAGTGTCGTGAAGTATGGCTACAGATAAAAAGAGACCGATGGATGGCAAAAGAATAATAATTTGATAGTATCTCTTAAAAAAACACATGCTGGTTTGTGTACTAGATTAAAAAAATGTCTCATAGACCTGGATTCATATAGATATTTAGACTGTTTCACTGCACTGCCCCCAATTTTGGGTTAAATGCATCCATATTGTTTGATGAGTATAACGGAGGATCACACCTAACACATTAACCTTTCCTTTTTTGTTGCCAATCAATGTGTTGTGCATCTCTACCATTAGGGGCAAGGGAGGGAGGGGGGCGGGGGGGCCAAGGGGAGGGGGAGGAGTGGGGCAAGAGAGGGGAGGGGGCAGAGGGGGGGCAAGGCAGAGAGGGGGGGCAAGGCAGAGGGGGGGGCAAGGCAGAGGGGGGGGCAAGGCAGAGGGGGGGGCAAGGCAGAGGGGGGGCAAGGCAGAGGGGGGGCAAGGCAGAGGGGGAAAAAAGTTTTAAATCAATAAAGATGCTAACAAGTGTCAAACCCACCTCTAGAAAGTGCTCCGCCTGCTGTTCTCGATCCAATTTCCTTGATGTAGTCATGATGAGACCTGAAAAAAAAGGAAAATGGGTTCATTTAGAATATCATTTTAATTTAATTCATCTGATACACTAACGTCATAACAATTCATTATAAAAGATCAGTGCTGTAAGGTGAACCTGCACCACACTGGGGTTTGAATGCCAGTCTTTGGTTCCACAGAAGTGAGGGGAATGGGTTAGGACATCAAGAACACAGGGGTAACCCTGTGAGTTATCCTCACACAGCTTCACATAGTCAGTACCAAGTGGGTTAATGAGAATTGGATTCTACCTGTTCCAGTGGATATTAAAGATCACATGGCATGATTCGAAAAGTAAAGGTAGTTTCTCCCAGTGTCCTGTCTCACAATCCCCCAAATAAATTTGATCATTTAATTCATGAATGCTTGTAGGAAATTGTTAACATCTGATCAGAAAGATAACATCTCCAACAATGCATGTTCCCTGAGCACTGCATTAGAGTCAGCCTAATCTATGAGCTCAAAGTTTCAACATGGAGTTGGAACCCACAATCTTCTGACTCAAGGGTGGCTATTGATCGAGGCTGACACCGAGTAATGTGTCAATGGCAATGTATGTTACCTCCCATCCATCGCAAACCTGAAAAAAGGTGCATTATTTACTGTGAGAATGGCATTAGCTCATTTAATCACACCTGTTCTTGGTGCTTTATCAATTATAAGCATTCTGTACTTTTCAATCTGTATTAGCATTTCATTGTTGCAGATGGAATTCAGTTTCATGATCATTGTTTTCTCATAATGGAAACATTATATTGCATTATCTATGTGTTTGAGAACATGAACAAGAGTTTCTATTATTAAAACCAAACCTATCCTCCACCCTATCATGAGTTTTTGATCTCCTATCCCTCATGAGTGTTCTTGTTAAATACCTAGTGTAACCCAAAGAATCATTATTATCAACAAGTAAATTGAGATATTTCATACAAATTTAACCGATCAATCGAGTCAACATAATGAAAATGTGCTGACGTGGTGCTATCCTGTGGTGGACAAGTGTGAATGACATATGGATCTTTAACCAAACTAATGAAGTTTTGCTGAAAATTTCATATATGTGAACACACATTATCATTCCAAGAAACTGACTCTGAGATTAATGTTGAGGAATCAACACCAAAAGTTCTAATAAAGGATGCAATTAGCAAGCCTAATGATCAGCCACTGAGTGCTTTAATCTATTTTACCATGATAAACTACTGATAGAGTTAATCTGTGAAAAGTACGGATTTGCAGTTGAAGTGGAGCTGTTCATGAAACAAGAATTCTACTGAGATTTCCTGCAGTAAGCCCAGGCACAGTATCATCAAGTATAATCCTTAAACACTGTAACTGCTCTATGAAGGAGTGAAGACATACAAAAAGCCACTTCAAAGAAAGGGCATCTGTCAATGATTAGTATTAAAATACTAAATATTGCCACGTGGGATTCTGGAGTTCGACTCGACAATCGTGACAAATTTTATTTTGTTAAAGTAATGACATTCTGAAAGTCACCAAGCTACTGATCTTATTTACTATTTGTTACATAATAACGTGATTAATTTTTCAAAGCATCTATGTCTCTTACATGTTGCGGAATAATGGCTTTACATCAGACTACGTTATTTGAAAAAAGTAAGCTTCGCAATTAACATCAGAAACTTGACTTGATCTGATCTATCAACTGAGCCAGAGTGTCTGTCTGGTAGCATTCTTGTCTCAGAGTCAGGATACTGTGGGTTTAAGCCCATGTTAGGACTTTGAACTCGCATTCTAAGCAGACACTCCTATGCAATGATGGGGAGGCATTGTCAGAGGGGCCATACTTCAGATTAACCAAAAAGAGAAGAGTTTCTCCTGGTGTTCTGGCCAACAATCCCCTGGGCAAAATTGATCTTTCACTTAATGGCTTTTTGTAAGACATTACTGCGTGGAAAATTAGCTGCTGCATTTGTCTACAATAAAAACCCAGTCATTACACTTTACAGTAAATTCTGTGAAATGCATTGTCTTGAAGTGAAAGGCTCTGGTTAAAATGCAACTTTTTAAAAAATCTTGCTTCTGTCTCATTGCCTCTGCGAGGCATTTACTGGTTTAATGTGCTGTCTGTACCTTTTTTTAAAACTTTTTCCAGTACTACAAAATGACCTGGTGCTTCTTTCACTACGATTTAAAACCATGACAGAATTTAAACTGGTTACAAAATCAAAATGTCCTATATTTGAAGTAAGAAGCAACCATACTTTGTTCACTATGGCTGGTTGTGGGATATTGTAGCGTGCAAATTAGAGTGTTTAGCCTAGAACAAATAGTCACTGCACTTTACTGTATGTTTCTGTGAAGCACTTTAGAGATGTCCTCCCAATGTGAAAGGCATTTTATCAAATGTAAAGATTATTATTATTATTAATAACTATGCATCCATCACAAACAGTATAAAGAAATTGCTTTTTAAACTGTTCATGATTACACTTTATCATTTTAATAGAGATGTGTTCCGAAGATCAGAATAAAGTGAAGTATTTTGCTGAGAAACCTGAAAGTTGTGATGATGTATGGAATTGAATTTTTAAAACCAACTTTTTTTTAATGGCTTTTTGGGGGAAAAAAAGACTTGCGAAAAATACTTGAAGAATGGTTCAATGGTCAGTAGAACTGAATTGTGCAGGTTCAATATCGTCCTGTATATACCCAATACCCACAGTATATGTGCGAGAGATCTAGATAAGAGCGCATAAATTCTCTAGAACCATGGATTAAAATGGTTAAAACTTGAAAAATTAATGTGAATTGCTTTACAATATGCATTTTAAAACATCTATCCCTTATGCAGATTTAAAAAAAATACAGTTTAATAAAATTAGTCTTTTGTCGGGTATTTCCAAGAAAAATTGATTGATGCACAACTTAAATCTACCATTAAAAGCATTTGTATCATTTGCATGTGGTAACAGCACACACGACCATCACATAGTAGTGTTGGTTTGTAGACAATATTTTGATGAATCTTTGAAATTAAACCAATAGACTATCATTTATATTATTTCATTATACTGTATGCTTGCAGTAAACTTGGAAATAGCTTGGAATATAGTATAAATATTAAACAAGATATGTGGGAAAAAAGTCACCAACAAAACCATTTAATTGCAGTCACTACATTCTAGAGTAATAATAATAATAATAATCCTTGCATTTGATATCGCGCTTTTCACGTCGGAAGGACGTCCCAAAGCGCTTCACAGAACACACTGTAAAGTGAATTGACTGTATATCTGTGGACGAACGCGGCAGCCAATTGCGCACAGCAGTGTCCCACAAACAGTCGTAGATTGAAAATGACCAATTTATTATTTTTTTTTGGCTTTAGAGGGATTATTAATAAAGTGAATCCTTTGAAGCCCATTGAGACATGATGATGAAGTAGAAAGATTATTATTATGATTTATTCATTAGCCTTCTAGAAAGTAATGCATGTGAGAATAAACAAATGGCTGATTATTTTTAGCATTTGTTAAATTAAATTAAACACCTCACTCAGAATATGGAAGATCCCTTGTCACAAAATCTAAATTGTTTAATTTTTTAAAAATGTTTTGGTCAGCTGGGTGTCTGACACATGTGGAAACCCATCACCATGCATCATCTATCGAAACCAAATTGCTTAAGGAGTGTTAACATACGCTAAGAAAAATGTGACATCAAACTGAGGCTTGTTCATGTGGATGCTAAGGATTCCATGGAGCTATTCGAAGATCAAAGGAAGTTTCTCCCAGTGTCCTGACCAACAATCTCCAAAATAAAATTGGTGATTCACTTGATGGCTGTTTTGTGGGACATCTACGTGCACAAATTGGCACATGTTAAATTAGAATATTGCCAGATATTTGACATATGTTGAAAAATAATGGTCAAATCTTCATTCACAAAATGTTATACTAGTCTAAATTTACTGAGTGCTGACTGCCAATGAAATTGGAAAATAAGGTCCCAAAATATTATTTTAGTTTTCCTGAGGCTACTTTTGACATACATATACAGCTCAATGCACCTCACGATGACAGAGATTTACTTTATGCTGTTTCTCAATGGGCATCCACTGACATGGTCTTTCCTTTTGCCTGCACAATTAATTTCCATCTTAATTACTATGCTACCAGTGAACCAGAAAACAATCAATGTAATTCAGAATGCATTGGCTTTTACGCTCAGCCTAACTGGGCTGAAAGTAAAAACCTGTATTAAAGAGGCCAAACTACTAAATGGAAATAAAACAGACTTTTTGTGAATAAGAGCATGCTTTCCATCAGAGTTGCAAATCGATAAGGGCTTCCTGAAGTCCTTAATACAAGAAAGGCTGGAATGAGAAAAAGGCCACTCAGTTTATCTCCCCAGCTCCCTCCATAATCCACTCAAAATCTACCCTAACACTCAATTAACCCAAACGGTTGTGGGATCACAAAATGCTTGAGAGCATTATATAGAAAGCAACCAATGCAAAGGACCGACAAGGAGCTATCAATGTGGATTTAGAAGCAATAGCTTAAGACTCATGAATTCATTGGCTGACTCGTGAGCACAGTGTCTTGCATTTCATTAATCCAAACAGAAAATAAGAGACAGGAGGCACAATGCTCTCCGCATGGTCTTTTCAATACAATTAAAACAAAAGGTTTGAATCTCTAAAGTGGAAGTTCAATGCATGCAAGGACAATGGGAAAATCTCCCAGTGGAACTATAAAAGAGAGATGAGAAATCAATCCTGATTTATAGGTTTCTCAGTTAGAAATTAATTACAATTCAATGTAAGTAGAATAATCTTGCAGCATTAATGTACAGTAACTTAAGAGCATAAACTATGGCTTGGAGCTGCAATGCAATACGTACTTGATGATTGAGTGTGAAATAGTGGGGTTACTTGGAAAAAGCACATGCAGAAACTTCCTGCTGGGTTTTATGTAATGATACTTTTTCAGTGACAGTGAAATATCCAATACTTACAA